GGCATTAAATTGGCTGAGCTAATCAGCATTGATGATCTCAGCCAAATAGGCGAGAGTTGAAAACTAAGTAAATAACGTTTTTTAGCCGTAGTAGCAGGAGCCCGGCCACTTAAACGGTGACTAAGGCACTATAGTATTAGGAACACATTATAACTACTTATTATTACTTATTAGTAGTAGTATTTTATTGATCTTACATTCTTTCCAAATTAATGTAAGGGCATTATTTTTTTATTTTATTTTAATGCTACATATGTTATTTAAAGTTATCATTTTGTCCAGTAGTACTCGGCATCGGACAATGGACACATTCTATTTAAAAATAATTATAAAAAAACATCATGCAATCTCTTGTACTCAGAATCCGAAGCAAGCTTATGCAACGAAATTTAAAATGTCAAGAGAGAAAAATGAATTAAAGGGGTTCCAAATTATAGCCCAAAATCCAGTAATAATAATAGCACAAAGTAACTAAAGTGGAGAAATATACCATGTCCACTATGTTTTCTTTTCCGCTATTGTGGGCTAAATTTTACACTACGAACTACCATGTAAAACCCCAGGAAATACAATACTTTACCAAAAATCATCAACAACAGTATCTTTCAGAAGGTTCTAGTAACATTGGTCGCTGTGTTTTCTTTTAAATACTTCGTGCCTCAATATAGCATGCATTCTTTCTTTTCATATTAAACCCAGTTCTTCTGCTCTGCTAATAATATATTAACTGTTAATAACTAATCCCCTTCTCGGCATGTGGTTAATACTCGAACGATGTAAACATCGATTCACTCTAATTATAACGTGAAACACATTTCTTTTGGCTAGAGTTGGCTAATGAGGATTCCCCCCAACCCCGATTAATGTTGTTAATTTGCAGACGTTCCAAAGGGTCAGAGATGCAGAAGAAAATGCCTTCTGCTAGAGAGTTAACACAGAAATAGAGCAAGAGAGAGGATAAATAAGGGAGACAGACGAGGGTGAAAATTTGGCAGACGGGGAAGGGCTTTCAGAATGGAATGTGTAAACACATCTTAGCATATTTGTTCACTAATAGCTCTTGTGATTATGAAAGGCTGGAATTTTTTTTCAGTTTTTATTCCATTCTTTAGCTGCTAACGATGAAGAGTGGAGGTTGGGTGGCATGATTCAAACACAGCTAGAGTTGGGAATACGTGCATGTCTTATAACTGATCCGTGTAAAGGGTCCTGGACAATAGTGCCATGCAAGCAACTGTAAATAGAGTAAATAATTTCACAATAACTTGCATTATTATATATTTTACTAGAGAAATAATTTAAGTTTATTAATACATTTCTCATATCTCCACATCTGCAAAATGTCTCACATCTGGGAAAGTCCAAATCTGGGACTGCACTTTTCCTCTGTTGTCTCAGTTCTGGGACACAAAGTATCCAGAATGCACCGGGTGAGCTCATTATTATATATCTTTTATCCATTGTTGCTTTGTAAGGCCAACGCAAGGAACGTCTCTCCCTGCTAAAGTGTGTCAGCTGTGACCTTGTCTATTGGTAGTCCTCACTGGCTTGAAGAAGTGAGAATTCATGCCAGTGAGGCAGTGGCGGAACTAACGTTGAGAGGGCCCAGGAGCAAGAATTTTTTTGAGCTCCTCCCATTGCAAGAGTGGACAAAGTGTAGATCCCCAACTGTCATACTACTTCCACAATGCTTTGCAAGCTGGATATCTACCATTTGCCTATCCTTTCAGGGGTGTATTTATCACTGAACAGTGTTTGTAAGTTTGAATGTAAGCATGTATTTGTATGAAGTAAGAGTGTGTGAATGCAGGGGTGTGTTAATATAGAATGATGGTGTTTTAATACAGAGGTGTATCTGTATGTAGTGTTGAACGATTGAATGCAGGGATGTGTTAGAATGTAAGCTTGATGTTTGCAGGGGTGTGTTTGTGTGTAGTGTTGGCATTCGAATGCTGTATGTTCATATACACACTGCCACATACACACTGATATACATACACACACTGACACACATGCAGATACACAGACGCACAGATACACACACTGACACAAATGCAGATATACAGACACACAGATACGCACTGACATGCATGCAGATACACAAATACACACACTGAAACACAGATACAAATACTGACAAACATACAGATACAGATACACACACTCACACACACACTAACACACATACAGATACACAGATACACACACATACAGATACACACACTGACACACGTACAATTACACATACACATAGCTACACACACACTTACACGCATACAGATACACAGATACACAGACAGATAGTAACACACACTGACACACATACATACACACATACTGGTCAAAATGTACACATTTAATCACCCTCTAGTTTCCTACCTTTTGGGTTGCTTCCCTGGGGTCCAGTCTGAGGCTGTTGGGAGTTAGCGGCTGTCTTTTGATGTCCGCAGCGTCCCCTCTAGTCAGCCTTTTCCTCACGAGTGGCTTACTGTCTGTAACTGGGAGGAAATTACCGGCTCTCACTTGCTTCCAGCGCTGACTGCCGATATGAGATATGGTTGCACTGGTAAAGGACCACAGCGCACAACCATTTTAGAACAGTTTGACTTCTTACCTTGGGGCAACCAGGAGCAATTCCCAACGTTTACTATCTGAGACAGGTAACTCAATCGTACTGGACTTAGATAAATTGTTGAGAGCAATAAGGACTTAGCGAAAGAATGATAAAAGAAGCACCTGCTTCTAAAACGGATTTACCAGAGCATTCCTGGAACCATAACTACTACAGTGGAGTGTTCGTTTAAGAGTAGTCATAATACTACAGTAGTCCTTTACATACAGTCCCTCTCTACATACCTCCAAACAGAATGCACCTGTCATGGTTGATTATATATTTCCTACCTGTTCTATGTTAAATTTTGTATATTTGTATATTTGTATAGAGGGTCTCTAAGAGACTTTCTTCTCAGCTGGGGATTTTACCTTTTGAATAATTTTTAACTGGTTTCCATATTCAAACCAATGCCTATGAAAAGCTGCTATATCCACGTGCAAAAATTTTTTGTTAGTGGAGGAGTCTAGCCTTTGCAGCAGAAGGACGTGCGCTTTATGAGCTCCAATCCAAATTGTGATCTTTCAGTCTTTATCCTGCTCTATCCGAGGTATGACAAAGAAATCCTGCCCGGAGACTGGAGTGTTGATATTGGAGACATATTTCACCAGGTACATTGTACCATCAGGTCTACAACAGTCTTCTAGATGTGGGGCTGCTCAGACTCCTCAGAGGAGTTATCTGTGGACGCTGAGGATGTGCTTATCCCTCCTGGAACATCAACCCTGTTACATATCTTAGTATCATCAGCAAAAAGAAATACCTTACCATCAAGACCTTCTGCAATATCACTAATAAAAATATTAAAGAGAATGGGTCCAAGTACAGATCCCTGAGGTACCCCACTGGTGACAAGTCCAAGCTTCGAATATATTCCATTAACTACAACCCTCTGTTGCCTGTCACTCAGCCACTGCCTTACCCATTCAACAATATTTGAATCCAAACTTAAAGATTGCAGTTTATTGATAAGCCTTCTATGTGCAACAGTGTCAAAAGCCTTACTGAAATCTAGGTAATCAATGTCTACTGCACCACCCTGATCTATAATTTTAGTTACCCAATCAAAAAAATCAATAAGATTAGTTTGGCATGATCTCCCTGAAGTAAACCCATGTTGTCTCTGATCTTGAAATCCATGTGTTTTTAGATGTTCAACAATCCTTTAACATGGTTTCCATCACTTTCCCCACTACTGAAGTAAGGCTTACTGGCCTATAGTTGCCTGACTCCTCCTTATTACCTTTCTTGTAAATGGGCACAACATTCGCTAACTTCCAATCTTCTGGGACTACTCCTGTTAACAATGATTGGTTAAATAAGAAGATCTCTTCGCCCCTTTAATGGCCTCTTGAGAATGCAAGGTATCCGCTACAGATGGAGTCTTTCCCGCATCCTCCTGGTGTTCCATGGAGGTGTGCAACTACCAGTCCAGGATATCCATGTAGCGAATTCCATTTTAGGGAGTTTGAGCCTACCCCAAGATTCGCTTTTGACCACCCTGTAATGTAGTTTTAGAGGCTACTCCCCATTGCTGGCATCCATCTACTATAACCCTGTTCGTTCCATGGAGAGCTACTCTGGACCCATACATGGCCGCTATGACCTGAAGCTTACATGTGATAGATGTATCCAAAGCTCATTCTAACCCCCCACGTCAAGATCTTTAAAATTATGGAACAAGAGACCTGATGGTTGCAAGGAGGTTTGCAGCATTATTTGTCGCCTCACTTTTCCTTCACGAGTCAATATAATAAACTATACCATCAGAGGTTTGAGACACTCTTTAGAGCCCTGATAATTTGTTATACTTATCTATAATGAAACAGTTCACCCTCCAAGTTTTTTAAACTACACAGTCTGTTTTTGTTATAATGCTGATAACACATGTTTCTTTTGTATAAATAAATGGTGATGTATACAATGTCAGTGAATTGTGCAAAAATAAATAAATAATTAAATTATTTAAAAAAAAAAAAAATTGTTAACACAGATATAATGCTGAATTATATAGTGTACACCTTTACCTTAGAGGGACCGACTAGTTTCCATATACACATATATGTGCACAAGGATCAAAAGTGTAATCTGTACAGCCTACAGGCTATGACATCAATGAATAGCAATGATTGTACTAGCAAGATTTAAAGGATATTGAAAAAGACAAGAACAAAAGAAGTTACTATGACTGGAAGATAGAGGGTAATATGGAGAAATTCCATTTAATGGATAAGGTACACATTCAGAAAAGTCTTACAAAAGAAATAAGAGAAACTAAGAACTATATATGTGTTTGGGGGCATAAAGGGGAGACAAATTTGAACAATAGATAGGAACCTTCCAATAGTAAGGGAAACCACATTTGTAAATTACGATAGCCACACGAGTGTATTTTTCTTTGCAAATTTATTTAGTTTTGTATTTAAAATAACAACATTCTGGTCTGCAACAGCAGAACCAGTTGGCATCCAGGCAGCATATAATTTTGCAGAATAATATTAATAAACAACAGGCACGCTTAAATTTTTAAATACTTTCGATAACTTAAGTACACTCAAAAAAAAAAAAAATTCTGATTCATACGTCTTTGGAATAGAACTTTCACAGCACAGAGATAGAAATAAAAATACCGAAATATATATATTATATTTATAATCCTTTCACTGCCAAAGGGAAGGCTTTGGAGACCCCCATCCCTTTGGCAGAGATATGGATTAGGAAAGGGGTGACCATTTTTTGTAATTTTTTTTTATTTCTTCTTTTGTTATTGCTCTATAAAATATTTAAATGATTTTTAGATTTTGTAAACAACACACATGTATTGATCTGAGAAACAAAAAGATCTGCCATTGTCCGGCAACGGCAGTCACGTAAGAGCGAGAAGAACAGAGGGGTAAGATATTTTAGAATATAAAATAAATATAAAAGGGGACTTATTCACTAAAGAGCAAGATGTGGGTGAGCCAAGATGCAAAATATAGGCTAAATTTGCTGAGATTTTTTTTCCCAGTTCTATGAACTGAAGATTACTTCCAACGGGGCCAAATTGAATATTCTATCCAAATATCCTTTTTTTAAAATTTTTTTTTTTTACTAAAAACACTTAAGAGGGTTTGGATGTGTTGGAGTAACAATATTTGGCTCACTGATTTATAGATATATATAGCTCCATTAGTAAATACCATATTGTTACTAAAACATCACAGAATCTAAGAGCTTATTAAGAAAGGCATTCTAAAAACCTTTGATGCACATTGAATCCCTCTGACTAGCAAGTGATCAGTTCAGAGAGAGACATTTCTCAGTTGTATAAATACAGAGATTTATAAAAATAAACACATACATATTTACATGAAAAATACTTGGGACAAGAGCCCCCGGTAACTTTTAACCACTTCACCACTACACACTTTCATTGCAGGGCTTTTTTTCCTTTTTTTTTTTTTTTTTTTTTTTTTTTAGCAGCAAAGAGTTGTTGGCCTGTGACATTACAAAACCAAAAATGAACTCTTCTACCCCGGAATGTCCATCTCTTTCAAGGTAGGCCTGAATTAAGGTGAGCTGCATTCCGAAATCAGCTGTCCAATCTGCTCAACCTCAGTCGTTTTAAGAGCCTTTCAACGTGAAATAATTGTTTACGTTTATTAATCCAGGCTGGCAGAAAACATCCCTTCACGCGCGTAGCTTCCATCACCTCCTCTCAGCTTGGCAACTTATTGGGGTGATTGTTACTGTGCAAGTCCTTGATCCTTTGGTGGGGGGACTATCTTGACCTGCTGCGAGAGATTGACTTCTGGATTTTCCAAAATTATAAGACTTTCTTTCGTTTTTGTCACTTCCAAGACTGACATGATAGTCCAGTTAAATACAGACCTAGATAAGAATCTCTACCATTTCAGAAGCGTTGGAATTTTTTGATGATATTTCTGTAATATGAGAAGAAAGAGGGCATTAATGGTCTGCTTAAAATTAGACAATTATTTCATAACAGATGAATACACCCAAAAGCAACAGATGCACATCGTTTAATTTTAAATGATGTATCCATATCAACCTATTGTTCTGTTACATTTTGTATTTGTCTCATTTATTGTTAAACTTCCCCCTTTTTCTTTTCTTAGCTCTGCGGAATATGATGGCACTATATAAATGTCAAAAATATGAATAATAATATGTGCCTCGACTTATTTTCTAATTTTAATTTACTCGTTAGCATAGGTATGATTAAACAAATGAAAATGAGTCATGCTTTTTTTTTTTCTTATAACAGATGCCAAGTATATTAACATTAGGTGAGAAGATGTTAATAAAATGCACAAAACTTCTATGTGGCATCTTTAATATTTTAGTTGCCAGTGGAATAATCTAAAAAAAATTATCACTGCCATTAATATGCATTCATTGAATAGTCTAGAGGACATAAAGCACATTGGCTATGCATGACTGCATCTCAGTGCTAGCTACTGACGATTCCATCAATAATGATTCACCTTCCAAATGGTTATTAAATTCAAAAATGTTGAGGAAGACAATATGTGACCAACCATGTCAATATGTACAAAACAGGCAATGCATATCATATCTCACAAAACACACATACATAGCATTTTAACTGGTTGATTTTTCAAATGCTTCAAATAGATTTTAAATGTTTAGAACACATTTAAAAAAGGCAAATGCCTTACCTAAATAAGATGTGAAAAGGAATTTCTATGGCTCACTTGCGTCAGACATTTGGTTCTGCCCTCAAGCTTTATGAGTCTACAGAGGCACAGTTTTTTGTTATTGAGATACAATTGTGTGTTGCTCTGGACTTTAATGTCTGAATATTTTAGAAGCTTGGTCATACTGGCTTATTTTCTTTGCCTGCCTTGCTGTGTGAGGGGGAGGAAGATTTAAAAGGAGGACATTCCAAGCATGTCTGTGGGTTTGAACGATCAGCAGATACATTGCATCTTCCCAGAGTAAAACAAGTGGTGAGGTTACATCCAGCACAGACTGAATATGCCAGGGGCAGATCGAGAAGTGGGAGGCAGTGTTACATCTGACCAACTGGTAGAAGATCACTGGGACATTCCCAGAAATTGAAGGACATCTAAAAAGGTCCTCACCCCCAAAAATGTTTACTTATGTAATTCTCAGTTAACCAATTTTATTTCTTATCATGGAAAATAAATAAACACTTGGTCATCAGAGCTGTTGTTCTGTCTAGGATGGTTTAGGTAGGGGTACCGACCATTTTTCTTTCTTTTAAACCTCAGTATTGCTCACTTCCCCCTTCTCTCAAGTCTTTTGGCCTCACACCTGCATTCTGTTTCCAGCTGCATAGCTGACATTCATTAGGATTAGTCATCACCAAGGGAGGCCAAGCCTTGGCAGGGATTGTGAGAGGAGAAAGCTCTTAGCTATGCAGGGCTCGGCACGGGCTCAGCCTGGGGGAGGGGAGGTGAGAGAGAGCAGCTTCTGCTGTTGTGAAACCATCCTCTTACACATACACATGCATACATGCACACACACAAAGCACACACACAAACATACAAACACATGCGTCCATAAGCTAGAAAAGGTTTTTGACATAAATAATCCTGCTGAATGAGCTACACTGTAACTATATATATATGTGTCTGTACATGTGATTTAAGGTTTTGTCCTGGATGAGAGCCTACAGTTAAACCCAAGCAGAGATGTAGAAAAATAATGTATTCTTCCATGTTTTGCACATTGTCTTGTTACAATTTGCCCTGAATCGCCATACTACCATCTCCATCACATTGTCATGGTTCCTTACCTACTGAGGAGCCTGCATTTCGTTCCATTATCAATTCAGTCATAACGCTTTGCTGTGTGCCACATTCTGTTTGGGTACAACCATCTTTGCTCCCATGCTTGGAGTGAATACGTAAGATAGGCATGCCGAATGATGACAGCTCGCTTGGTTTGTTGGCTACAAAAAAAGTCAGAGATCTTGTATTAGAATGGATTGCGCTGAAACCAAAATCGGTATATTGGTAGCCAATTATTGTGGAATCATAACCCTTTCTGTGAAAAGGGCATACCATGGGAATCTTTTCAGTAACATTTAGCCCCCATACAATTTTCTGTTCTGGAAATCTTATTTATATTTTCTAGGTCATCTTATGATGTAGAACAGATTGTCTATGCCAATTACATTCCACTATAGCAAGGTCTTTTAATGTTACAGTATTCTGAATTTATCTGTAATGATAAACCAAACAGTGTGAGACATTCCTAATATTGACATTAGCTTGTCAACTCCCTTCTCTAACGAATGTATCAGTCTGCCTCTATCTGTTGAATAAAACAGAAATAAAAGACAAATCTAGCAAGCTTCTAAGAGCTAGTGTATAAATTTTGAGAACTCACCTGTTGCTCCTATGGGGGTGCTGGCTGTTATTCTTTCATTTGAGGGTGGGGCTTGGCTGATCCCCGATGGAGTGAAAATAGAAGGAACAGATTTGGCAGGTCGGAGAGCGCCTTGATAAGGTTTTCGTTGCTGTAGAACCTTTATAACTGCATCTTTCTCCAGTATCTGAGCATGGAGGGCCTTGATTCTAGTGGGAAAAAAATACATTTTATTACTTCAAAAGATCAATTAAAAGGACACTAGAGGCACTCAGACCACTTCATCTCATTCATCTTTGTATTCCTAACACTAAAGTTTTTCTTAAAATTTCTTGAAATGCACTCAAATATAGAGTAATCCATTGTATAAACATAAACAGAGTTCTCAAATTACACCCGTTTTTAAAATTGCATTATGTAAATCAATATCGAGATAAGCTACTGATTAAATACTGCGATTAGGAATTCTAAATATAAGCACAAACATCAAAGGAGATCAGTTGTGTGTTCTCACTGTATTGACCAAAGTAAAGATCAAACACAAGGAAAGCTGCCAAGATTTTCTTCCCATCTCTTGGGAATATTGTTTCTGTATCACTCAGATATGAGCAAAGCCACCTATCTGTCCCAACATGTCTACTAGCGAAGAGGAATGTTGTTTGAACTAAACATGCTTTAGGATGTCAATGTAGAATAGAGAATTCCAACACCTCCACTCAATTTCACCTCCACTTCTTAAAGTGGGAAGCTATAAACATTCATAAAAATAAAACAATCTGACAATGAAACCTTTTCTTTTGTTCCCTAATTTGACTACAGATGATCAAACAAGACACAGGATATTTGAAGGATGACTAATATATGATATACAATACAAACACAACTAAGAATGCATGTAGCGTACCTATTCTCCATCTCTTGATGCCTATGGCTGGCCATCAACAAGTCCTCATTAAAACTGCTGTTCGGCGAGTGGCGAGGTGAATGATTGATAATGGTTGTGTCTCGTTGAGCAGCCGCTGTGGCTGCGGCATCCATAGCAAACTGTCGCATAGTACGTTCTTCCAGATACTTCTGCTCCCACTTGGTCATATCGGCCTCAAGGGCTAATATTTTCTCTTCTTTCTCTCGCAACTGCTCAGAGAGGATTGTGGCAGAGAGTTCTGGGGAAAGGTTTCCATTCTGTGCTGTGGGTTGCCTCTGTTGGGAGAGATACATTGGAGTAAGAATTACTATAGAACAAACCCCGTGACCTAATCACTTAATCATCATTGCTGCTGTAACAACTAGCTCTAAAATGACCTTTACCTGCTGAGCTCTTAGTGTCTTCAACTCCTGTTCCAGTCGGGTTCGAAGGCGAAGTTCAAGCTGTTCCCTCTTCTCACAGGCAGCCTGAAGTTGGCTCAATGCTTGCTGCAACCTCTCTACTTTCTCTACATATGCTCGCTTCTTGCGCAGCTCATCCTCAGTACGTGCGGCTCTGGACTGTGCATTGCTAAGAGCTTGCTCCAACAATTCAGCTCGTCGTCGCTGATCCTCATTGGCACCGCGTAGCAAACTGATCTCCTTCTCTAGCTTCTCTCTTTCTTGCTGCTGATCACGACCTGTTCAAGGAGGAAAAAGAATGATATTTTTTAGATAAAGGCACGTGCGTAAGCACAAAAATGAACTCTTAGAATGTTCTATTGGTAAAATCTGAGCCATGCATAAGGAAACTCTGAAACTATTACTTAAAAGTTTGTATACTACATCATAAGTATGCTAGTTTTGGACACAGATGTCTCATACAGGGTTTGTAGAAGGAAAACATTTTATCTAAAAGTTCTTGAATCGAAATCAGGAGTCTAGAGGAGTTATCACTGGCTAAAGTTCCTGTGTATTGAAATCAGAATGTAGTGTATCAATGCAATATATAATTTAGTAGTACAAAATAAAATGGCTGTAAGAAGATGCAGATCCCATATTTAGCAAAGGACCATATGTTACACAGGAACCAAGTATGGAAATGTCTATCCATTAAAGAGAGAGATCAGCTTTTGACAAAGTTTTCTTCATAATTACTTTAAAAAGATCAACAGGAATATTCGAAAGTGTAAGGTAAACTTGACTATGAATTCAACGTTCCATGAAAAGGTTAAGCAAACAAATGAGTTCCCAGGCTTGGAACAGTCTGATAGCACAGAGATGACAGCTCCAGGATGTATATCCTGGATAGACCAGTTCTCAATCATGGCATTTGCAGCCTCCTAAACATGAAGATCAAATTCTATGGATATTTAAAAAAAAAGGCTTGAATGCTTTTTTGCAGAATTTCCAAGGACATAATTAATATGCATCTAAAAAGGTTGTTGATCCAAGGATAAATTTGATTGACATTAGGGAATAGTTTTCCCTTTTTTTGTGATATAATTGGCTGGCTCAATACAATGCAAAAACAGAGCACAGCTTATCATTCATTTCAGTTATTAATATTTATAAAGCGCCAACAGATTCCATAGCACTGATCTCAAGTTATCATGTGACTTTCATGTCACACTTACCAACAATGTAGTATGATTTTTAAATAACTACTATAATATGAAGTTTTAAAAATGAATTGACCTGGCAATTTATACAAATAAATACAAAGTAGTAATGGTTTACAAACCAATGACATGTATTTTTACCTTTAGATAATTGTGCTATTTTGAACAGGAGGACATCACAAACACCGCGTTGTGTTTACACATATGTGTGAGTCCCATCCTGTTAACCCATTGTATGCAGCAGGTCTGGGTAATTTTAAGTGTTTGTAGGTTAGGGGGCAGCTATAGGAATGCGAAGAATTCAGATCCCATTGAGCCCTGTTTGTTTGCTACAGGATATCGAGATTTTCCACAGGATGCAGTAAAAAAAGAGTTATGGCACTCCTTCCTCTGTATCCTTAAAAGGTGTGTCTGTAAATCACACGTATCCAGCCAGGTCTGTTAACCAAATTTTTTTTTAAAAATAAACACAGAGTTTGGACCTTACATATATGAAAATGCATGTCTGCAAAACAAGCTGCAGAAAGCAGTCTAAACAAAATGACTCGCTCACACCAAAGTACAGAAAAACAAACAAAAAAACTGCAATGTTATTTAAAATACCATCAAGACTTTAAAAGTATGCCGTGGACTGTTTGAATATTTTCGAATGTCACAAAATGTTTCCTTTTGTAACAAGCATGTGTTTGTACAGCATGGACATATGAGATTTCCTATACAGCTTTTTATTGATAAATAAGGATAATATAGGTATTTGAACATTGATCAACTCCACTCTTAATAGACAGAAACAAGGTCAAGTCTATATTGAAGACATCATGGTACTTACATTGAGCAATCAGCTTTGAAACTGCTCCTTGGGTGTCATCTCTTTGCTCCACACGTTTAAGAGCTAGCTGTTTGTTAGCAGACTCCAGGCGCTCTACATAAAGAGATACACAATGAAAGCCGATGAGAATCCAGAAGAATGAGTTGTGCTGAGATCACATAGATTTTTACAATCTTTCAGAGATCAGATGCGAAAAAAAAAAAAAGTCCTTGCAAACATATTCTAACCTGCCATGTAAAATCAGATTATAATTCGTCCAAAAACATTTAATGTACGGTGAAGGATTAGCGCACAAAAAAAAAGCATTATTCCTTTGTTTCTACATCTATATTAAGTCTTTATAAGAAAGCCAATCTAAAGGTAGTCTTATAATGCCTTATTTTGTTCTAACATACTACAGGAAAACAATTTGTAGACTGATGATTTTTTTGTAATAAATTGTTCCTTGTCTTTGCTTGTGATACTAATGTCTGTGTTTTTTCTATATCAGAACCTTCCCGCTTTGCCTATTCAGCAAAGATTAATAATCCCTGTATAACGCTAACTGTGATTGACAGGGTTCTAGTGTGTGACCTATGTGAAAAATGTCTTCTTGGAGCATACCTCTAAGATCACGATTGAAATCCTGCATGCGCCTCATCTCCCCCTCCATCTTGGTCCTCATAGCACTCTCAAGGGACTCTCGCTTAGAAGATGCCTTCATAAGGCTTTCATAGGCTTCAGAGATGCGTTGAATTTCTGTTTCCAGCTATAGAGGAGAGACAGTGAGAATCAATAAGTGTCCAACTCATCGTATTGTGTCCATTCTCATAGATTCACCACAAAATCCTTTTTTATACAGTATTAAAAAAAAGCTTTTACTGATTATGCCATAGAGGTTGGCAAGCAAAACTAGTGCTCCTAGTACAAAATTATATTTAAAAAATACAAAATTATATTTAAAAAATAATTAGAATGTATTTATCAGTCAATATATCCATTTAAATATTTACAAGCTGAACGATTTTAAGAAGAGAATTTTTAAAGTCCAGTTAATTTGCTTATAACTATACAGACAATATTCACAGAAAATGTCAACAATGCAGCATTAAAAAAAAAAAAAAAATTATACAAAATACGGATTATTTCTGTCGATGTTATGCCACCTGCCTGTCTGGATTACACATTTGCTATGGGGTTGGATCCCCCTCCCTTCTTCTTACAGCTGAGGCCTTCCTAACACAAGCACCTTTTCATCCACACACAATAGCTCATTTATGCCATATCAGGTCAGCTCAAGCAGAACACAAAATTTAAGCAACTGTCAGCAGACCTCAGTTCTAAGTGTGCCTCTAACAAATGGCTCATGGCTGTCCCATTGTTCCCGATCTTTTGCAGCTGTTAATGGGGAGACGATACAGAAAGTGTGTTGGGGGTGGGTATGGACTGGAAAAAAGTGAAAGGGACTTGGATGACAAAACAAAACTGAGAGGGGTGGGCCACCGTAGTGCCCCCCCCTTTCACGGCCAGATGGGTTTCCTGCCACAATGACTTGTCTGTGGAAAGGTTTCTTGGAAGCATGGTAATGAGTTTTCCAATGGTGAGGCACTAACTTGTGAACGTTCTAAGAGAAGCAACTGTTGATGGATAATTCATAGTTAAATTGTGGATATTGATACCTCTTAATAGTTTGGTTTCTGAAGAATGGATTTTACAATTTTTAAGCCCTAATCACATTATACACACAGAACATTTGTATCTTATTGAGCTATCTACAACAATAAAAAGTAGAAGACAATGATCTTGTAGAGCAGAGAAGCTTTGTAGTTGTTTTTTTTTGTCAGTCATGCTGTAAATTGTACATTCATTGCACCTTTGGCAACAATAGGTTGAGGTTGACTGCACAGATTAAAATGTACCTTTTGTATCTTAACAGCTTTTTCACTGTAACTTTCCAGCTCCATTCGTAACTTTTCATTTTCTCTCAGAAGAGCATCCATCCGAGCCATATGTGATCCCGTTATATTAAAAGATGCTATAGGTCCATAATTAAGGTTCTGGTCCTGCACAGCCCTGTGGGAGATAAATTGACAGATGGTGTGAGATATAAACCAGTTTGTTGTTCGTAACCCTGAGAAATACATTGTTCTGTGGCAGCGTGGATAGACATATGCAAATTGTGACATACCCGGAGATAAATTACAATGATGTGTTTGAGATTGAAAAAAAATAATAATTTTATCAAAACATTGCAGTGTGCATAGTGTATGGCAGGATGTAGATGCCCAGATAGTTCAGGTAGACAGTATCACTACTACGATTTATAATTAGTTTTATAAAGAAGTAATTACAGTATTGTCAGACCACATACCAATGCCTGGAAGGAAGGGTAATACAAATTTCATTTTACAGTCTAAAGTCAGAATAATGCATATTCCTTTCACGCCATTTGTTGGAATTTTAGGTATTCAAAATGGCCATCACAATAGAACTGGTATTTCCGTTGGTTATCCCAAACGTATTTGCTGCCAAAAGGCTCACAAGATTTAACAAGTGAGCAAATTCTTTTATTGTGAGACTGAACATATTCCTTGACCATTATCTACTCTTGTTGCACAGAGACTTACTTCCTGTCTCCATTTATCTTTTCCTGTCTGAACAATAAAGAATGGTGGAGACTCCACTAACTCAGTGTTTACTGTCAGAGAAACTCTAAATTCCAGAGACACTAGTAGTTTTTTTTTTTTTTAACATCCCCTTTTGTAGAAGCTTTTGATAAAATGTAGGTCTTTACTACGTGCATAAGCAGCTACTCTATCTGGACTATATATTGGCTGAACCGACGTCAGCAACTCTGCGTGATGATTGAATCCTGAGAGTTTAAAGTGTAGCAAAGCTGACTCTCTTATTTTGAATAGTTTTCATTGGTGTTATAGTGTAGTGTTTAAATGGTCACCTAGAGTAAGAAGTAACAAAAATATATACATAAAATGTATACTTAGTTTTGTGTTACATTTCCTTTTGAACATGGCAGATTAAACAAAAGGTTATAGCTCTCTACGGAACCCAAAAAAGGAACTAATGAAAGGAAATAGACTGCTATTATGTTATACATAACAATGAGGAATTTTATCTTTGGAACATAAAACATCATAGAATCATCATTAAACAATAAGCAAAATCCAGTTTATAACACATGGGTCATACTACTGCAGCAGTATACACTAGTCCAGGCAAACTTCGGCACTCCAGATGTTTTGGACTACATCTTGCTGGCAAAGGAGATGTAGTCCACAACATCTGGAGTGCCGAAGGTTTCCTACCCCTGCACCAGTCCATATTTACATGAGTTTGGATTAGATGAATTTTAACTCACCTGACTTCAGACTGATGGTAAAGCGGAAGATCCCCACCATAGTGCCTCTGATCTTGAACATATCCACTGACATTATGATCCTGGTGTCCATAACTTGGGTATTCTGGAGGAGCTGATTTATAGTGCACCCCCTCCTGATGTCCATGAGCCACTGATAGCTGGTATTGTCTAGAGAGCTGGGGAAAGCTATGAGAAGAGCTCATGAGGTTTTGTGACTTGGCACCATTGCGTTCCAGAGACATCTGCAGTAGACGTTCACTCAGAGACCTGACATGACCATGCTTAAGTTCTTTAAGGGATTGGTCCTGTCGATGATGAGAACCATGTTCTACCTGCTGACTGTTCTGTGCTGCATAGTACTGGGAGAGGGCAGCCTTAGCTTCTTCATAAGTTGGGAGCTCCTCACCCCTATGCTGAAATTCTTGCACTTTATACATGGGGTTCTCCAAATAGAAATGGTCAGAGTGATGCTCTTGACCTTGTGGTTCCTGTCTTGCTGAAGGTGCCATCTGTACCTCCTCTTGCTCAAGGCTTTCAAGGGAAGACCTGGGGCTACCATTGCCACCTCCACCTCTCAGTGCCTGTTGCTGAATAGCTAATAATGTGCGGTTCTCACTGAGGTTGCCATACCTCAACTGCTCCTGAATCAGGCGATGCAGAACTGTTCCAGACGAGTCCTCTGCCGTCCTCATTCTTACTTACAAAGCCAAAAAAATTAATCCCCCCAAAAAATATTTAAAGAGTTTCCTCAAAATAATTCTGGATAATCCTCTCCCCAAAATTTACACTGACCCACAGATCTGTTGCCAAAGCCTGCGGGTGAGAAGAAAAAAAAGTTCTTAGATAAATCAGAATAGAAACACCTAAAATACTAAAATCTCATACAAAATAGAACCAACATCTTCATAAAAAACAAACAAAACGCCTCCTTAAAGTACAGGGATACAACTTTTGTTTAGCATGCAACACTTTTTATTCTGAAATAAAATTAGCATGTTCTGTGCTTCTGTTATGATATCCTTTGTACTTACTATGAACTCTTAATAAAAAAAAAAAAACACAAAAAAACGCTTAAAAAGGCACTTAAATTCACAAGGAATAGTTAATTAATCTGTTTTTAACCAGAGCTTACCCAAGAAAAATGTAAAGCCTCACACGTGCACACATTGTAGTGCAGAGCACATAAAATAGGTACATTTGTTGTAATGTACATGTCAATAGATAACATCAGAGACTTCCTAGAACATTGCTGGAGGCTGGAATGCTAAGCTTACTGGGATTCTAATTATCTGTTAATATTCTGACCTACATTCCAATAGGACTGACCTTGGTGGCAAATTACTGTGGCTTATTTCAAACACATCAGAATTTCTTTTTTCAAAAAACTTTTTTTTTTTTTTTAGTTCTATTAAAACGCAAACGTTTTTTTGTGTTTATATATCACTTAATAATTCACAGCAATCGCTGGCTTGCTTCTCGCCATAATCTATTCAGATAAAACTAAAGCCCAGGTCTGGCCTCTAATAAAGAGAGGGAAGGAGGGAGGGGGGGCACAGAGATGGAATTCCACCCTGCCTTTCTTATTCAGCTAAAGTCCTGTGTATCTGTGGTATGCCCCCCTGCTGCCTCAGTTTTGCAGCCCGCCCCTAAAATTCCACATTTCCTTGTTTAAGGTGAGCAGTCAAAGACAGTGCATGACATATTGCATTGCAGGCCTCTGTTAACACACTGTATTTATAAGTCTACTTCAGATAAAAGAAAACATATATGCATTCATACACACAAACACACACACACACACACCCCTCATTCCAGACATTTACAGCAGAATATCTTCTACAATGCTCTTTTCGTTAAACAAAGCTGGTAGAAATGCAGGGATCCCTCTCCATCTGGAAAAATCTCTCATAATCCCAAAGTTTTTACAGCCGATTACGCTATAACATCTGTAGAAAATGTGTTTAACTGGAAAAAAAATAAAAATAAAACCTGCTCCCATAAACAGAACCTTTACCACAGTGTACGAGACGCCACCACCTTATACATAGCTAAGAAATGACATCACCGGGCCCTATTGTGTTGCAATGGACATTCTTTATGAATTGCGGCCCTGCCACAACCGTACAAAGGCCCGTTTTCAAAACAAGAACAAAGATGTTTTTGATAAAAAAAACAAACCTTACAAATTCCTAAGCCATTGCTAAGGCGACCAATGGTGACCAAACACCTGCAGGCCCCACTTATCTTGTCCATAAAGAATGCACTCTGGTTAACCCTTTACTGACACTGTAAACAATGTAGACACTAAAAAAAACTAAATAATAATCTTCCCAAGGGCACAATCTTACTCTTTTAAACTTTATTTTCACAAAGTCATATTTAGCCAATATCTAATGTTAGCCTGTCTTTCATATTCTCCATAGTTTGTTTAGACATTTGCACAGGACCTTCTCCTAATCGTGTCTCTGGTCATTTTTGTATGTCAATTACTTGTCAAATATACCCATTCTATAATTGTAAAGTGCTTCGGAATATGTTAGCGTTATATAAATGCTAATAATAAATGATACTATGTAAACTGTATTTAATGTTGCCGTTCTCAATTACAACAAGCATGTTATAGGCCCTCTACCTTTTGTATCTGTCTGTTCTTATTGGGCTTTGTCTTTTTCCCAAATTGTACAGCGCTGCACAATTTGTTGGCATTTTATAAATGCCAGTAATAAAAATATATATTTTTAAAAAAAGAGTAATAATATATATATATGTACACACACACACACACACACAAACACATAAATACTGCTCTGTTTCAATTATTTAGACAAAATTACAATTGCCCACTTCCCTAAATAATTACGCAGTCATATTTGAATAAAGACAAACATGAATTTCCTGATGTTTATCAAATGTGAGGCTTGTGATTTGCACTCGAAATAAACATTTCCTGTTTAAATTTTGTGCTAATCTCGTTATTACCCAAACAATGTTATGCTCCAATCTATAGGGAGAAGTACCGAAAAAGCCCACGCATCCACATACAGTAATCAGGAAATGTAACATATGGACAAACTAGCACAGCAGCAAAATGTATACAAGATAAGATATTTATATTTTTAAAAAAAATCTACCCAAAAACTCTCAAAACACAACTTCACTACAAACACATTTGGCTATTAATAAACAAACTACTAACCGTGTTATAACTGCTGAAACAAGCACTTTACATAGCCACTATTAACAAATAGGCAGTATAAAATATTGACTTTTCTACTAATAAAATATCCCTCTATTATCAGTGCAGACCAGCAGAAGACAGCCACAAGCGCACATATTTATCTTTACACATAAACCCACAGTCACATATTACAATGTAGATTGTAAGCACATTCGAGCATAGTCCTCATCACACGATTGTTCCAGTAATATTTTGTAATTGTCTCATTTATTGTTAAATTTCCCCTTTTTATAATATTGTGCAGCGCTGCAGAATATGTTGGTGCTATATAAATGCAGATAATAATAATAACAAGCCGTAAACGGTGTTTAAATATTCATTAACAGCAGTGCGAGCAGCACAGGCCCACCAGATACTGTAGCGAGGACACTCACCAAACCATAGCAGATGTGCGGAGCAGATTATAGGGCCAGCCTGTGTTATATCCTTGCAGTATAGAGCTAGCTGCTCACAGAATGAGAGCTCAGAGCAGACTGAACCTCCAGCAGTCACTCTTCCCAACTGCCTCTATAGCTCTGCTATGCATGGAATGTGAAAGTTTCATGCTACCCTTGGGATAAAAGCTAACCACACATAACCTTTCTCCTGCTGCTCCTCCTCCTCCTCTCCCCCTCCCTCTCTCCCTCTGAACTCAGCCCTCCACCCTCACTCTCTCCAGGAGTTGCAGTTCCAACCGCTGTCCTCTAGAGGCAGCATTATACCCAGAATGGGAAAACAGGGAACTAGTGACTGCAAGAAAGAATGTATTGTGTACAGGGAGAACAGGTGAGATTCTTGCAGGGTTACTCATTAAACTCTGAATTTTAGTGATCTAAATTAGAATTGGAAAAGCGAGGCTGTAAATTGCCAAACTGTGAGTGTAGCTGGGTTGGAGAAATGTCCCCAACCAGCTCCGTTAGCCTAAATTTTGCCCTTTGGATTTAATTTGCTAAGGTATGCTAAAAAATGTGATAAAACCTGACTACAGGTATTATATTTCATTATATTTTTTTGTAAAAGAACAACAACATTACCATAAAACTTAGTTTGAAAAATGCTCCTTAGTAACCTGCAATAAAGGTATTAATATTTATCAAATCCAGCCCTGTATTGGCCCCACGGACGTCATCACAAAACACAATTAAGGTTTGTTTGTTGTGTTTTTTTATCAGAAATTCTATACCACATAATGACATTGAAAAGTAATCCAATTATACTATTTTTATAGTTTGGCGACTTTGACAATTACAATTGCAATTAGTGTTTTCTTTTCTGACATCTGCTTTACTATTACATTTTCTAAGGCAGCGAGAGATGGAAAATAAACATTGAAGCCTGTATTATGGAAAAACAATGCCCTGGAAGACTTCTGGAGACATTGTAACACAAAGATCAAATGGATTATGACCTTCAGAATGCATTCATTTTCTGTAATATTTGCTTTAGTTTTATTTATCTTTATTACGTGAGTTTAAAAAAAAAATGTATTAACAGCTGGAATGCCACAGATTGTTCCTTGCCAGCTGCTCAGTAATGCACGCACAAACACACACACACATGCATACATACATACATACATACGAGGACATACATTTTGTCTTTTGTTTCTTGTTAGTGCAGCACCGAGACATACAGTACATGTACCTGACTGCCAGAGACATTGATGGCAGTCACCGTCCCAGGCAGCATTTTCTATTCATGGCTACTATCAATAATATTGTACCATTCCTCTAACTTGTGTGTCTTTTCAGGTGGAAAGAAAAAGAGAGAGAGACAGTGTGTCTTTGATCTCCCTAACCTCTTGCCTTGGATATAATATAAGTAATGGGGGAGGGAAAGAATTTGTGATGGCAGCCACAAATGTTGGTGGATGTTCAGAAGTGTACCTCTTCTCAGTTTTGAGTATGCCAGGACATGCAAGTTCCAGTGGTGGACTGGCAGATAGTACAGGTGGTCAGAAAATAAAGGTTGTCCAGGCATTTTAGATTAATCGTATAGCAGCTACAATGAAGCTACAATGTTTCGGCCAACACTGAGGTCTTCGTCAAGCTATCGCCCCAGTGTAATAAACCATATATATATAGGGTACATACCATAGCAATCAATGTGTAAACTATAATCAATTAAGACACACATATTAACTAAAAACTAACAATAAAAAGATAAGCCCCCCCAAACCAGAACTCCTTGTAGGGAGGTGGGAGGTTCTATAGCTAAGTCTAGCACAGTCGCCAACATACGCCAACCACAGGTGGACACCGTCTCTTGTGTCTTAATGGATTGAATAGCGTTTACACTTGGATTGTTTGTTATGGAATGTATCCTATATATATATGTGTGTGTGATTTGTTACACTGGGGTGATAGCTTGACAAAGTCCTCAGTGTAGGCTGAACCGTTGTTCTTCTTGTTGCTATAAAGCTGCTATACAAATAATCTGGAGTGCCTGGACCACCTTTATTTTCTGACTGATTGTATTGGGGTTTGCCAGCCCTAGGCCTGAAGCACCTGGATCATTATTTAAGAGTGCAGTTTCCTTTTTTGTGTGTGGTTTATCTTATGCACCATGTGGTGTCACACTACAATACGACATGATGTGATCTCACACCTGAATGAGATTTGAAAACATGATATATCGGTGAAATTATGTAATACGTTTGTGTGCGTGTCTGTGTATAATTCTGTTCAGATTTCATATTTAAATGATTATATAACCATATTTTCTGCAGTATGTAATATATATCACGTGAGGATATAAAAGGTGGCTTGACAGACATAAATAGACAGCCAGGGCATTATCCATGCCCAGCTCACAAGCTTACAATCTACAAGCCCAAAAAGTAGATGCTCTGTATACATACACTTAAAATAATTATATAGGTCTGATGGGAATTATGAAGAATTTAGATGTCATGGGTGGAGCAGTTGAGAGAGAAATTGTATCTATAATTAGATAATAACTTATCAAATAAATACTTGAGGATTGCAAACAGCTTGATAGAATGGTCAGCTGGTAGGGCTAATTGGAGTAAACATGCAAAGTAACCAATCGTGATTAAATTATATAGTATTGTATCTGATGTTGCTGCAACTTACCTGAATAGTTAACTAAATGCCACATGACATGAGTCCCTAACTAATTACCCATCATTTTATACCCAGGCATCTTTGATCATTTCCATACAAAGGGCCAAGAGTAGTTGCATACAGTCAGAAGATCAAGAGAAGCTTACTGTCACACACAGAACAAGTTTGTGGCTCATGCTGAGCCTTCCTGTCCCTGCAAGCTAAATGTCCATTCTGTAACAATAACCTGAAATCGATTTTACCTGGGTCCTTTGTATGTTCCGTCAAATGCAGTTTGACCTAGCATATTGGCCCCTAGAGACACCTTGGCCCCAGGATGTATCTCTAGCTCATTAAAACTTGACACCTGCTATCCTGACAGGTGGAACTGTGGAGTGTGGCTATCCTTACATCTTTACTTTTGTCCAAAGTCTACCTCACTGATTATCTCATGATTAGAAGCTAAAGATAACCTCATTAGATGCACACTCACTCAGATCAACCTTCATATAATTGCATACTGTATAGGATACCGTTTGATTCTGAAGATTAAAGGAACTTGCCAAACACTATAACCACTACAGTTTGTAGTAGCTTTTAGAAAGCTATCCCTGCTAAATGAACCCCCACCCCCATTGTATTCATCTCAGGGCTTTGAGTTCCTCTTGGGTTCTGGAGGCTGAATTACAAGGGCGTTACTAGGTTCCAGAAACACCTGTGGCTTTAGCCTAGGAAATACCATGATGACCCCTACATTAAGAGAGAGGTGGAGATATGTTATGACCTATCCCTGCATTATGTCCCCACCTCTCTACCCGTGAAAAGAGTGCTCCTGATGCTCTTCAGGATATGGAATAAAAGCATCGTCAGAAACAAGCACATTCTGCACAGCCAGTACCATCCCTTCCAGACGAAGCACTATTCTACTGATCTATATCTTTATAAAAGGCAGCAGCTTGATGTAAAATAATAAAAAATGAAGAGAAGAAAAGACAAAATACTAATATCCTCCTGGCCCCTCCAGCAACTGTTGAGATGTAGGGCTAAAGAGTCCCAGATCCAGGGCTTCAGCCACCCAAGAACTCCCTTAGCAATGTCTATGCTGACTTACATAGTGCTTGGTACTTGGACCACTGAAAGAGGAAGCAGTTCTTCACAAAGCACATCAATGAGAGGGAGTTTAGTCTGAGTGCTGCAAATTTAGCTTTAAAAAAAAGCAACATAACTATTACTGTAAGATGTAGAGACATAGAAAAATAGATGGTAGTGACGGCAGATAAGAACCATTCGGTCCATCTAGTCTGCCCAATTTGCTTTCATTATTCCCTGGCCTTATATCTAGGATAGCCTTATGTAGTGGTTATGGTGCTTGAAATGTCCCTTTAAAGTTGAAGTGGATTGAGTCCCACCACGTAATATGCCACTATTACATCTATAACATGTATGTAGGGTTACATTATGTGCCTACAAATATTGGCCCCGTTATGAATCATATAAACGCGATGCTACAGTAATCCTCGAAGTGTTTCATAAATCTCTAGATAGTTGAAATGATAGCTCTTTGTCCTGTCTCTATGTAACAGAAAGCAGACTGTGATAACCAGGGCCCTTTGTGACATTATCCAACTAAAATGACAGATATGTGTATGTTTTGGTGCAGCTGTAGCTGTTCTGTGATGGCTATCAGTAAATGTATTATTTCAGTAATGGGTTTAGCAGTCTGACATGGCCTGTCCTGAACTCTTACAGATGCTCTTCAACTGCCATAACAGATGTCAGCATGAACAGTGTCCCATTCATCCTGCATGGGACCTTATGTGTCTATATTGTCCCATCCCAGGAGAGACTTGTGCTAGGATCAATCAAGGCTTGTAACTTACCCCAAGTCTTCATTTATTGCCAGTTAGCGATAAAATAAGATATTCTTCTTACGAATAAATCTGTCATCCGTAAACTTGTGGTTTGCTTCATGTTCTTGAGAAATGTAACAACAGGGTTTCATGTGCTCTGGGAATTGCTAAGACACAAATAATTCCGCTCGTCTGATGCAATCCGAGGGTGATGGTGTTTGCTCTTTTAGTGACAGCTTTAGCTTCAGCTTCAGAAATATTACGTTGAATACCATCTTTACATTTTAAGAAGAGTTGGAGGTTAACGGGTTTAAGTGGTAATGATTAAGGACAATGATAAAAGAGGCAGGTGGTTTTAGAACCCCTTGTAGCACTAATTCTTCACTATCTAGTCATTTAAAATACATTTATTGTAAGCAGGGCTTCTTCACTTCACCTCTTCAATATTCTGTGTGGGCGTTTCTTTTTGTCAGAAATCTGCATTCTAAAGTGCTGTGGTATATGTTGGCGCTATATAAATGCTATAATAATAATAACAAAACAAATTGCTTTTATTTAAAGCCTTGGATGAGAGCTAGCTTATCTTGAGGAAAAAACAGTGATTGTTGTGTGTATACTTTGCTTTTTAGGCATATACAATGTATGTATATTATATT